ACAGTGAATGGTGTATGTATGAGTTAAATATAGCCCGGGTGGAATCACTGCATTCAAAACGTAAGCTTATATTATCTGTGATGATTGAGAAAATTTCGTATGCATCTATTCCAGTTGATGTATTAGATATCATAAACACTTACACGTACTTACAATATCCGGCAAACAAAAATGACAAGGATGTGAATGTGTTTTGGAACAAATGTGCTGAATTTGTACCTGAAAACTGAATAAGGAAATACATAATGTACATCTTAAACCATAAAAATGGAGAAAAGCCTTGCTTGAAGTTTTTAAGGTCAGGTCGGAGTAATTTATTTGCCATTTTTTATCAGTCATTCATCGTAATATGTGAGATGTGTAGGATGTTGAGATAACCATGAAAGGTACAATATCAATGCAAACTTTTTCAATATTTATACCGTGATCATTTAGGGGGGGGGGAATTGTTCCTTAAATTATTTTGTTTAATTGTTCTCTGAAGGCGTATAAACATTTTTTATAACATGTGTCAGTTTTCCATATAGGTTTGCACGCATTAATATAAATCTTTAATTTCAAAATTCAGAACGTTACAAAACAAACAATCAACCATTCATTTCGGTCTTTACTCATAAGCTAAACGTTGTTATGCAGCAACGTAGCAAGAATCTCAATAAGATTATAGTGGCATAGTTTTTCTTTCTGTTTAGCATTATTCATACTTTTGAAAAAGGTGTTCTTTCTTTGCGATTCTGCTTGTTCATTGTCCAGGAATATTTCGAATACTGAAATATTCAAACAATCTTCTCTTTAACGGTGCAAATGATTACTACATTTACATGGCGTGTTTCGTACGAACTGATCTCTTATTTGTTGTTTATGTTTGTACTGTAATGTTGTCATTTTAGCGGTATGTTTAACATTGCTATATAAGCGGGAGGTTTGGCTAGCCATTAAACCAGATTCAATCCACCATTTTTTCTTCTTAAAATGTCCTGTACCAAGTCAGGAATATGGCAGTTGTTATCAGACAGTCCTTTTCTATGTATGTTGGCGTTTGTTTTTGTTGTAGTTCAGTGTTTTTCTTGTTCCGTTGTTTTCCTCTTATAGTTGATGTGTTTCCCTCTGTTTTAGTTTGTTACCCGGATTTCTTTTTGCTTAATCGAATTATGACTATTGATCAGCGGTATACTTTTGTTGCCTTTACTTATGCACCCTTACATGGTTAATCACAGTGGAGTTTGCTTTGCAAATTGGATGTGATGCTCAATTTTGTAATTTTCAGGGATCAACTGTTTATTTAAACGTTTTCTCTTGATGGTTGCTTCTAGTGGGGTAAGATCTTCCAGATCATTGGATATCACGAAGGCTCATTTTGCTCATTCTTTAGGTTTATGTATAGTGTTTTGTTATCCTGTTTTCTTAGACTTGTAGTTTTTTTGTTGTCACTTTAGTATCGTCTTCCTCTCTTTGTTCAATCAAAAACTTTTACAAGATCGATGGTTGTCTCCTTTTTTTCCAAAACCTTAACATCAACTTTTTCAGTGACCAATAATAAATTAGTTAACTTAACTAAATTGTGTAACAGATCGTATGGAAGGAATGTTTTGCCATGGTGTTGTCAGTGTGTCTCTTTGACTTATGAGTTTTGAAAGTCCCCTTGGTATCTTCCGCCTCTTTTTTCGGATCAAGATGTGATGTCTGGTATAACTATATGAGACATCAACAAAACTACACAGTGTTTCAAAGGATTAAACAACTATAGTTGCTGTTTGTTCGCTTAATAGTTGTTTTCCATTCGTTAGATGTGTTTGAGCTTTTGATATTGTCATTTTATAAAGGACTTTCCGTTTTGAATTTCCCTTGGAGTTCGGTATTTTAATTATTTTACTTTTTAATACTTGTTAATGGAAAAGGATTGTCGTCATCATTCTATGCATGCATATTTAATTTCCTAATTATATTTTCCTCTGTGACATTCTTTTTTTTTCAGTTTAACTCACATTTTGCTTCGTATCGGATTCTTATTTCTCGGACATGGTAAGGTACCAGTTACGTGGTTAAACCTATCTTGTGAATCAAAACATTTTTTTTACTGTGAAATCAAGAAAAACTTGAAAACAATGTTTTCGATATGAAAAAAGTTTTGGATATTGTGGAAATTTATGAACAAGGTTTGGTAAATTACACAATGTTGTCATTAAGGTAAACCTGTTTCAGAATCCCATATCTGAATTTTATGTAAAATTGTACTACTTCATTGTTATAATTTTCATTAATAAATACTGTTTAAACTAAGGTAAGAGTAGCGGCTTATATTGATAAAAATATTTGATGAGTTTTTTCAAAAATACTTTCATAATGCTTTAGGCAATGTTGACCTTGGGTGGTTTGATTGTTCTTCAGGACCCCTTTTGATCATATAGTTTTTCAATTGTTTATGGAGATATACGTTTTTGTCTTTTAATTCTTGGGGTTCCTGATAAAGGTCAATCCAGAAAAGCGCTTCGGACGCAACTGATTTATAAAGTGTATTTTTCGCAACAGCATAAAAATAAGAAGATGTGGTTAGCCAGGTATGATTGACAATGATACAACTATCAACCAGACACTAAACCAAAGGACGTAGATTGTAAGCAACTATATGTCACTGTACGGCCTTCAACAATGACAAAAAACCATACCGTTTAATAAGCTATTAAATGTAAAGTAATTCAAGCGAGAAACCCAATAGTCAGATTTATGCACAGAACAATAAACGAAAAGTGAATATCATAGACAGCGAGCAACGACAATCACTGAATTTCTGAGACTTTCTGAGAAAAACATGACTTTGTGAAATATAAGTATCAACAAGATGTAGGACCACAGTTTACTGATGTTCAAAACTCATAAATCCATTTTGAATACACAGACTGAAATCAATTTAAGAAAAGCGATTCTACTGAACTATAAACGGAACGAGATCGATTGTGTTGACATAGTAAGTATCTTCTGCTATACATATATCACCCGCCATTTGAAACAGGGAATTGGTCGCGATATGGAATAGGATACAATCGATTACTTTGCAAATTCGGTATTCGTACCGGTCAACAATTGTGTGATGTTGACCGTAGAACGCCTGAAGTGTCAATTTTGACGACAGAGCAAAGTATGTTCAACTGAGACTTTGGAAGATGAAAATGTGAACACTGATGTCGTCACGTTTGTCATAGATCCTAGCTGAATTCGTCCATCTTTGTCAACTTTAAGAAGTAGATTTAGGTATGAAGCAGAACTTCTATTTTCGTTCGTATTCTCAATCCATTAAGCTCGACCAGTAAGCAGAATATCAAGAGTCAAGCATGTTCATGATATTGGCTTTGGTGTATTTGTAGGTTAAAATAATTTAGTTATTCACAAAGAAAGTATTTTCCTGACCTAGAACTAGAAATTTGCATTTATGATTCCCATGCTTGTAGAAAAACACAGTGATCATGGGGAATAGTAGTAAAGAGCGTGGAAGTCGAAAGTTCCTTGCGACAATCGTATTAGAGTTCTAGCTTTATATTTTTCAAAAAAGATTAAATTTCCTTTTCTAATAGCATAATTTCTTTGGAGAAAATTCGTACTTGACATGGGTTTGTGTTGCTCTTTCTTTACTTTTCAGTGCTGTACTTTGTGCCTGTAAATTTTCCAATGTCTGTGTTTTTCTACCAATAACAGTCTTGTCTATCCTTTGATTTGGAAAAACGCGTTTCAATTTCAAAATTTCACATTCGATCAAGTTTTAGGGTAAGAAAATTTACATCACCGATCGATGGTTTACGAATTTGGTGATGTCTTAGGGTTATATAAGAGTCAATTACCACCCGCTATTTCATTTGAATAAACATATAAACGTCTTTTATAGAAGTAAAACGGGTGTCCCATGTGGATCAGGATCTGCAAACCCTTCAGGAGCATCTGAGATCACTCATATTGCTTTGTGGACTTGTTTGTCTTATCGCCGTTTTTCGTTGTTGACATGGCGTTGTCAGTTTTTATAGTGGTTTCATTATTTTTCGTGGGATACACATTTTTGTGGATTTCGTTGGTAAAGGCAAACCGAATTTATACGTTCAACGTATTAAGTCTTAAGACTTGTAAGCAAACTTTGCGAAAACCACAAAATCAAATATACACGAACATACCATTTTTCTTCAATCAACGAAAATTGGTATCTACGAAAATAAAGTAATTCAAAATATTCGACTTATGAGTTTTGAATGACTCCTTGGTATCTATCACCTCTTTTTATGTCCTTTAAAAAGTTGGGCGTATATGTAAGTTAATAGCATGCAGTTTCTGGATCCTTTAGCCATGCATAAAGTAAGATTCTTTGTTCAATGGAGTTTGAAATAAAAGGATTCAAGTCTGATCTGGTCCATTGGCAATTGTGACATATAACCATATCTACATTTTCATTTATGATCCGGCAACTTTTTAAAAGATCTAATAGACGGGTCAAAGTCGAGAGCTGTTATTTGACACTCAATATTTCACCATCTTGCATTATGATAGGACACCAAATATTGCTATTTCCATTCTCCATTGTGCTTTTCTGACGTAAACATAATATTGTTGAACTTTTTGGTAATGTTTTATATTAACGTTAAAATCATGTATTATTGACGTGTTGTTTAATTGTCGTCCATTTTATCCTTTTGACACATTGTTTTCTGTGAAAAAAAGGAGATAGGGGTGTACGCCATGAGTTCTGTAAATAAAAGGAGATGTCAGGAATACGCGTTTTTAAAGTAAATGTGTGATATGCACCACGTCATAGATTGCTTAGTTGCATTCATAAACTATTTATTTCACAAACTGATTACTGATATAAAAAAAACGTTCTTTCAAAGTAATTCCCAGTGAAGACTAGTAAAGCCTTTTATTCTAAAATTTTCCAATAAATTTGCATCATTTTTTTCTTCTTCAATATTTAGTCTTTCAAAAATACTGAAAGGATAACAGATATGACGTTATGTGATCAACCTTTTAAAAAGCAACTTTTACGTGTTATTTTTATATAGAATTGCGTATTGCCATTGTAATCTATAGATTTTCGTCCCTAAATACTGTCAATTCCTTCTTCGGATCAAAATCAGTTTTTCTGTATTCCAAATTCTTGTTAGGTGTTTACTGGTCAAATATTTAAGTCGACATGTCAGATAATATTCTGACAAGAATGAGGAAGAAATATATCTTCATAATATGACGTTTCCTAACTGAATTCTTTTATCCGTTTAACTTTTGGAAAACATTATTTATTACCATTTTTTGTAATTAACTGTAACTTGTTGTAGGCCGGTATGTTGCTGCTCAAGAAAACCAAAACAAAATTTGTCGATTTATTTTTTATAATGCGGTAAATCATTCAAGGAGAACCCCTTAATAGATAGCTGTCCTTTATGGATACAAAACTAATGATTTTTACTTTCACGTGAATCAAGTGTGTGTTTGGTTAAATGCTTTATATTTCATAATCAAGGCTGCAAACTCATTTTGAATTAAAAAACAAGTATAACCTTTGAAACTATTGTTGTAGTCTTTGTTTGATTGTTTGTATCTTTGATTGTTTGAACATATTGTTGTATTGATTGAATTTGAAGTCCATTATATTCTTCATATTTTTATGATAAATTCGAAATGTTGAGGAATGAAAAAACTTTAAAGCTACAAAAAACCGGATCAGTTTGGGTTAAATCTGATATTTACTTTATGACAAGTCAATTTCTCGTTTTAAGAAGGTCCAAGAAGAGAACGATATCTTATAACAATAACAATGTGCATCTCCCCTTATAATGTATGTGTTCACCATCCCTTATAACGTGTATACACCTTTCATTATAACGTATATACACTATCCAATATAACGTATGTAAACCATATCTTTTAACGTATTGACACCATCCCTTATAACGTATGTACACCATCCCTTATAACGTTAATAAACCATCCGTTAAAACATATGTTCACCATCCTTTTTAACGTATGTACAGCATCATTTAAAACATATGTATACCATCACTTATAACGTATGTTTACCATCATTTATAACGTATGTATACCATCCCTTATAACGTATGTTTATCATCCTTTATAATGTATGTGCACCTCACTTATAACGTATGTATACTATTTCTTATAACATATGTTTACCATCCCATATAACGATTGTATACAATCACTTACAACGTATTTACCCCATCACTTATAACGTATGTACACCATCACTTATAACGTATGTACACCATCACTTATAACGTATGTATACCATCACTTATAATGTATGTACACCATCACTTATAACGTATGTATACCATCACTTATAATGTATGTACACTATCACTTATAACGTATGTATACCATCACTTATAATGTATGTACACTATCAGTTATAACGTATGTACAGCTTGTGAAGGACCTTTTTGTCAAGACAATCTCTTTATTCTTCTTACATTTTGATAGTCGTTCACTGCAATTAAACAAATAAGATATTGCAAATTAAAGTCATATTTTCTTATTATTTAAAGTTTGGTAACTTCTCCAAACATTTCATGAACGGTATAACAAACACATAGAATCTTTATACTGTTAGTACTGTTTGTTCATGTAGCGATTTCTTTCAATAAAAATTTGAGTTTTGAAAAAGAAAATCCAGAATAATGCTTCTTACCTTTAACATCCTGGATACGTTGTCGTTGGGTTTGTTCTGGACTAGATACTAAATGACTTCCATCTAAACGTGCAATGCGTCCTAGAATATTGTCTTCTGTAACGTTTTCTTGGTTATTAATCGGTAGTCTAGCGGTTGCGGAAACATGTGCTGGTACAAAAGGCCTTTCATCTAAAACAAAGTTGTGATAGTTGAAATTCAAACGAGACTGTAAGCCTTTCAAGCGCTAGTGCTAAGGATATTTTTTATATATTTCTATGAACACGAGTAATATCACATCATTTATTAAAACGGGACGGTAGAGATTGTTTAAAGAGGACGCCATACGCCTAAAGTTTTAGAACATTTACAGTTGTGCAGCATTGAAACTTAATTCTGCTCAATTTTTGCTTTTTCTGAAAAGTCTAAAATGAAAGAGAATGTTATTGTATGATTTAACATATTTATTGAGTTTGGTGGATAGATAATTTAACAGACAGTCGGTATTCCAATAGATTCTATTCAGTACCATTACTGACCGACTTGTTTTTGTACTCATATGAAGCAGAATTCATCCAGATCCTTCTCAAAGGCAAAAAAGCATCGTGCAAAGTTCTTTCATTTCACTTTCCGATATATTGATGATGTTCTATTACTCAATAACCCATATTTCAACGATTGCTTACATCTCATATGTTACTGTGAACATTAAGAATACTACCGAAAGTAGAAGGTCTGGATCATATATTGATCTTTAATTCGATATACCCACTGTTTAATCGTATGGCATTTACATGTCTTAGTTAATACGATACACTCTTCGTTGTTTACACTATATGGATATAATTAACAGGGACGTGCTTCTTACACAAAAACTACTTCAACAAAGTTATGAGGAAGAACGACTGAAATGGATACTACATAAATTTTATTGTCATCATCACACATTTATTGATTGATACGATGTGTCGGTGCCTCGACTCACTAGTGAAATGCTTTCGGTCTAAGATATTTAGATAAAGTATATTCGTCTGATCTGTAGTTTTCCTAATCCCTATTGTGAAATTTGAATGTATGGTGAGTGATGCATACAAAGCAGTAGACGCTTACCCTGTCGACGCACTTGTTTTTGCTCTTTTCAGAGTTTATCCGATTCACTCAGATTTTGTTTGTTAACTTGATTTGTCTCTTCCTAATCGATTTACGAGATTTAAACATTGATAAACTAATGTTGCCTTGATGTAAGACATGACTCAAGTACATGAATCTTCTCAGCAACGGGTCAAGGTTTTTTAAAGGATGAGGGACAACGGAGACTTAAGAATTTTTGTGGAGGAAAATGCCTTGCAATAATAATATGATATGAGTACCACAGAAACATTGTTCCACCTACAAAGAATCAGATCCCATGGATCCTGTTAATACACGCGTCTATGCGTAATATATTTCATAGAATAATCTGCCGTCAACATATTTGTAAATTTTGTTGCTAAAGAACTCCCAGTATCTATACGAGAATTCTAAAAGACATCAAAATCATCTGTATTGCTTTGTTTAAAGTAAATAGAGGTTAACTCTCCCTTTTCTTTATTCTTGGTCAAAAGTTATGAATTGATTTGTTGACTTGCATCACTAATATGTCTTAGGAATTGATGACAACATTTTTGGTTTTATCTGAAGTTTTTCGAAACTATTATGATAATGGAAAAGAAATTCCAGCTCTCAATAGAAATGTTTCTTTTAATTCGATTTGTTTCTCCTTCATAAGTGAATATTCACGGGGTTCGTGTTGCTCAGTCTTTTCCATGTTGTGTTTTGTATACTATTGTTTGTCTGTTTGTCTTTTTTTTTAAGCCATGGCGCTGTCAGTTTATTTTCGACATATGAGTTTGAACGTCCCTTTGGTATCTTTCGCCTCTCTATCACTACCTCGATGAAAATGTAGTGGATTAAAGAAGCTTATTAAATAATATAATATAATGAGATAATGTCCCGAATCTGCACATTGTTTTCATCATTTATAGAAAAAGAAAAAAAAGAAGAGATCATCCCGAGATAAAATTCAGGAAAACAAGAGCTTGAGCTTGCATAAAAAGTGCGATTAAAAAAAGTTTCATATTTTTTCCCAAAATGCAAAAAGAAATTCGTTATTTCAACCATATAACTGTTATTATAAGTAGTAAAATTAGTAGTAATATCCGTTGATTTTAAATAAATATCCTTTCCTTTTTTATTATTTCAGGTTGGTTTTTTTTTCTGTTTGTATCCTAAATTGAAGATGGAATAAATGTTTGCTAACGTTTGGTGAACACGATTTTCTTAAAGAGAGCAGCACAAACAAAAACTATTAGAAAATCACAAAACTATTTCAATATTCTGAATTTCTTTTAAATTACCTTTAGCAATACAGATGGTATCATGTAATTGTTAGGCCTTTAAAATGTAACGATTAAATTACAATGTTAGAAATAACACATTACATTACAGAATGCGACATTTTTTTAACTTATAGCGCTAGGAAACTTCTGTTGTCGCTGTATTTACCATATCATATTCTGCAACATTAAAGTGGAACAATTTTGCTATCAATGATATTATGTTTCCCATAAGTGACATACCAATGTGTAATTTAGTAAATTCAGGTATTTTATGCACAGTCAAAAGGCTGCTGTGGAAAAAAAAACCAGATCAAAAAATAAAAGAACTGTAAATAAATGTTTTTAGTGTTATAGTTCTTGCACATACATAACACTGATACGTCCTTTGTGCGTCTTTATTCCGTCTAAATACGATCAAAATCAAAATAACAAATTCGTAACACGTTTTGACACAGTTTTAAAATTTCTCAGCAGGTTCTTGATACGGTCTACTCGTTTTAGGTGCGTTCTTATGCAATTATTAACATGTATACCCATCTGCTGTACAATCAGACAAGGTTTGGTATAAAAAGAGGCCGTTTCCTCACTGGTTCACCATTTGGTTCTTATAGGCCCAGATATATGAATAACTTTGCAGCTGTGAATGGTATTGGGGGTACCTTCAGTTAACGTGATCACTGTTCTAGTTTGTATAGAGGGGAGACATTATTACATTCAATATTAACATATTCATTTGCATGATGTACTTCATCTTATAACATTGAAGACGAATATCACCATATCATCATAGGTATCAAACGGAATATCAGACAATCATACAGCATGTCACAATATGAAATATCATCATTAAAAAAAACATAAGTTATAGAATAACCGGCACAAATAAAAATTATATAAAAAGCAGCGGACAAGAGAGGACTGGCAGAAATGTGTTGGGTTTGTATAGCCATCAGGTCAGGACGTGATGATAATTACGTTCTGAACGAACTAGGGACGAGATGATGACGTAGTCAGAACACTCTTCAACAGTTAAACTGTCTGTGAACGAGGTGATCGAATAAGAACTAGTTAAATGGATTTCGACGAAGTAGAACTAATCACAAACCGGTTTAAACGGATTACAGAGAGGCTTGGACTGTTTGGAAACCGTGTCCCCATGAGGTAAACGGGCAATTTACCCGATCTTAACTGGATATAAACGGACTGCAAACGGAATAAAGACGAAATTAACGTATCGAGAAATGTTTAAGAACTAATTAGGGTCGTATGGTAGATATTGGCCGGCCAAAGATATACGTTATAGCCATACTACAACCCGTTTTACGAATTATAAGGGACGGATTCTGACGTTTTGAGAACTAGTTTGATGTGACTGAAGCTTCAGAGTCTATGATAATGATAATGAGGATGTTGAAATAAAACTACTTACAGTGTACGTCTTCTGTTGATAGCCCATTGTTAATAGAGAAATCATCAAATGTAGTTCTGTTCTGATCTGTGTGGTTCATATAACAATGATTGCTTAAATTTGTTTCCTGTAATTCCATGTACCTTGGAACACTTAATTCTACGGAGGCGTATGTGTGATTTGAAAGGTCATCTGTAGATATATTTGTTTCTGATTCTAGCTGATTCTGCCTTAAATAAAATTGTCAAAGAGTTTTTTGTAGTTCTTTAAACAAGTTTTAAAGGTAAACTTCCAAAATAAGATTCCGTCAGTATTGTTAAATCACTTTTGGATTATTCATGGAGCAAATCGACAGGCATTTAAACATTGTGTGTACAGTGGGAAATCAAGAGTCAAAATATTAACCCTGAACTTGATCTTTTCAATGCTTGTCCTGTTTTAGCAAGGACGCTACCAATTATATATACACGAGAAAACGTTTTGGTAAGTAAAAATAAAAATAAAATGTAATAAAAACACATTTCTATTTAATGCTATCATTTCCCTCCTTAAATAGCAAGCGAGAAGCATAACAGGCTATATGAGCGTGGTATAAAATTGGTTTTAAATGTTGCTTTGCGAATAAAATCCTGGAGTACCAACTTCGATTTATTTTTCCACTTGCTGCATACTTCTCTGGAACATGCTGATTATCCGTATATGTATGCAGCAAGATCAGAGAAGTTCAGGGAAAATATTTCTAAAGGAATCGATTGATATGCAGCAAAGATTAACACTTTTGAAATTATACTATTAAGCAAATTCAAACGGGCCTTATCCCGATGACAACGTTGAGTGTGAATTGATCGAGAAGACCGCAAACACATGTACAAAAATCGACACGACCTTTTCTTAAAATGTGAAAAGAAATAGTAAGGTCTTTTAACGAAAAACCTTCTTTATAAAAGATATTTATCTTTAATTTTTGAACCTGCACAGACAGACTTTTAAATTTTTATATGCACAAACAGACAATATTTTTATATTGAATGTTCACGTGATAAAAGCAGACCGATGTACTAGAAAAATCAAATTTATTTTTATCAATTTTTACATTTCAGTTTCCAAGCTTCTAATGCAATTATCTCGATAAATACTGACCATAAAACATCGTGTATTTGCATGTATATATCTAATAACACAGTTTATCAAATTAGCTCTTTAGAATGTACGATTGTTGTTTAGGAATAACTTTTGATCAGTATCGTCACCGGCATTGTTTTATTATTAATTTTCTCGACTTTTTATAATAAGAGTGATTTTTGTTTTATCTCAGTCAATAGATTTCCCACTGTGTACATGTACAATATTCCCATCACAATGAAGCATAGAGGAAGGATCTATTTCCCTATATTTGTTTCACCAACAATGTCGTCTAAACATTGATATTTCATAATTTGATTTTCAACATTCAACTTCTTTTACTTGTAACATAATGTATGCTCTATTTCTGAAAAATTCAATAAATGATATATGCCTTAAGATAGTTTAATAGATTATGAAAAATTTTACGCATTTATCTCAACAATGAAACGAATATTCAAACGCAAAATAATGTATCAAGCATAATTCTACAAACACGTGTTAATGATTATTGTTAAAAGGCGTGCAAAATATAAGTATTGACAGGAAATAGGACCACAAGTGTTCAAAATCGAATTGCACATAATACAATTTGAATGTTCATTGATTGATTGATTAATTCATTGATAGACGTCGAGTGGCAATTAGTTCTTTTATAATTATTCAGAATGATGCATCTTAAAACAATTGTCATTGCTATAAGGTACTTAATGGTATATCATACCTCACCGCTCTGTTTCTTTTTCTTCTTTCTTGAAAAAAAGACAAACAACTTCGAATTCAAAAAGGCAATTAAATAGTTTCTAAAAAAAAAACTGTCTTTAAAAACCAAATACGCGTTATTACAAAAAGCATCTACTTTTATTAATGCTTAAAGAAAGAACTATATGCGGAATCATTTGGCCAATTAACCCAAAGCATTTCAAATGAGTAAAAATGTATTCAGATTTGTACAGAATATGTGTATAACATTGCCGACCAATCTTTGCTTTTTCCCCGAAATGCCGCGTGCTTAGCGGAGAAGCTGCAAATACCAATTTTCTTTGGTTTGACCTGGTAGGGTTCAAAACCCGAGGCGAGCATGCTACCACGAGACCAACGAGGCGGTATATATAACATTGTAGATTATTTCTGCTTAAGCGTTAAAGATTTGTTTTTAAATTAAAGTTACAAAAGTATGCATGTCTAAAAATGAAATCAATACCACTTTGTTTCCGATTTGAAGACACGATTAACATAAGAGCCATTGTTTAAACAAAAAATACATTTACAACCAGCAAATGTTTAATGCAAAAAAGCATGTATACAAAATCTTTTCTGTAAGAATCTTGCTTTCCAGTTACATTTGTCGCCCAACTGCGAAACCAACCGTGGTTTAATAAACAAAGCAATTTTCATTTTCAGTGACAGCTTAAGTTTTTCAAATTAAAACAGGAAAACAATATGATGAGTTTTTCAGTTTAAAGAAAACCAACAAAGTGTAAGTCAAAGAGAGTAGGGCCAATTTCCCCTGTATTTGATTAACTATGGAATCAAAGTATAAAAGTTGTCAAATCCTACTGGAAATTGAATATTACAAAGTCTATATCATAGTGTTTTGCAATTTTACATATTGTCATTGAATCAAAAGTTATTCGGTGCTATATGTTGCTGTTTAATGCATATTTTACAAGATGGGAAAATTCACATGTTTTGTTAAATTTTGCATCCAAAGACATCGCTTAGCAAAGGTTAATTAATGTGTTGCCGAAAGACAACACCTAGCTGTATTATCAACATAATTTTGGTTTTGGTATGCGATGTCCTTCTTGTACATTTTAAAGACAATACCAAAAATGCCAAAATATCTAATCGTTGTGGTTTTCGTCATTCTTCAGGCTTCAAAACTGTCATAATTTGTTAAGAAATAACATTAAAGTACACATATTTGGCTGTGATACTTTAATTCATGTAAAAATTGAAAGACTGTATGATAATGCCCCTGGTGTGAAATATATTAAAGGGAAATTTGCCTTTCTTTTCATCACAGAAAAGACCTACGATGTGATCTGAATTTGTTTTTTTTTAATTTTAATTATAGAAATAACAAGTTTCATCCAGAACTTATTCGCATAACGGGGGAGGCACATATAATAGGAGACGACTTCCCTTTCGAATATGTTGGCTGTGTTCCGTTTAGAGTTCAAGCGATTTCCTCAGGTTGTTTTATTTTCTTGGAAAATATATTCCTATTGGATTCACGAGTTTACGACATTTAAAAACTACTGTCTCCTTTTTTTTCTTATTGAAAGGGCAAACAGCAACATGAAAATTATCATTAAGTAGTTGTCTTTTTTTGTTGGACGTCTTAAAGTCTTTTCTAAAATAGGTCAGTTTTTTTAATGTATTATTTATAAATTGAATACTTTATAAATGTTAACAGTCTTATAACTATGATTTGTTTTCAAACTGGAAGACGTTACCTCTTTTCTTGCAATGTACAATCACTGTGGTAAATGTAATAATAAGAACAAAAGTAGCGACACCAACAGTTATAAAGATATACAGGTTTTTCCCGATGTCTTTTCCTGCAAGTATATTTGAAATATTCACATGTGATAAACAAGTTAAAAGAATATTTCGCAATGAAATTTTATTTTGTAATGTGTGAACATAATATATAATAAGAATTAGGGCACAAAACTTTTCTGAAACATGTCTTTGTTGTTCTTCTATCTTAATGGTATGCTAAGTACAAAGCTATTCAATTTATAAGTCTTTATCAGACTTATGAGTGGGTATAAATACAAGAACCGGGATAGTCAGAGGTATCTAACAGATTAATATGAACTACATTGTCAAAGAGGGATTTTTTTTATTTAAACAAGCATGCGAATTTATTTAAATACACTTTCAATATGTAGAAAAGGATTTTAAATAAATCATATTGATTATATGATGTTCTGTCTTTCAATAACTAACATTTCAATTAGTGCTTACTTTTCATATATCCTAGTGAACTTGAGATTTATGATACTACCGAAAGTAGAAGGTCTGCTTCATATTTAGATTTTTTCCTCAATATTGACACAGATGGACGACTTAGATATATCTATCACAAACGTGATGATTTCAACTTCCAAATTATCAACTTTCCTTTTTTTCAGCTGTAACATACCCTCTGTAACATGGTATGCCGTTTACATATCTCATTTATTACAATAAATAAGCTTTGTATACGTACTTTCTTTTACGGGAATTGTTATGTCGTTATTCTTCTTTTTCTGGCAGAGTTGTTGTCCTGAAAACAGTTTTAATCCATTATGAATTCATAATTTCTTACATTATGGAAATCAAAACTTACATATATCTGTTTTAAGAGAACATTGTTAAATAACGGTCATTAGCACCAAATCCAAAGGCCTCAAACAAAACTTCCACACAATCTTAAGTCAACTTGGTCTCAGATGGTTGCAAATTTAAGTAAAATAATTCATAAACTGACAATTTGCAATCATACTGATTCGTGCCAATACTGAGATTAGCGACTCTGCAGACCATCCTCTCACAGACTTTAAGTCCATCAGAAGCGGAGCCAATGCCAGTGGTCGCAATATAAAACGTATATACCTGGTCCTAATAAATAAGTTTAGTTCAACATAAATTAAGGTGACAATAGTCAATTCACAAATCGATAAACGTATGTAAAGGAAAACCTAAAGTACTGATATTACTGAGGAAAGGGCTTTATTGAATTATTCAAAGTTGTGTCTTGATTGTCTCAACCTTTATCTTCTTTATATTGATATTGTCTGTTTACCTGGCGAACGTCTATGCTTGATTTGTATATTTTTTTTTATTAAACTACGACTACGCCTACCAGTTTCACTTTAGCACAAGTATATCAACTTTTACAAAACAGATGACAAAAGTCGATTGATCCTTAGTTATATAGCCATATATGTAATATTGAGGGTTTTAATTTTTGCTATTTTTTTATAAGGGGTTTACCCTTTAACACATGTAACAAGACGGATTTAAATTGTGGTATTGGAACAGTTAGCCCTTCTGGAACCCTTATGTTCACCCTCCTTTGTTTTGTTTTCATTATTTTAGGTTGGGTTTGTCTTATACGTATTGTTTTGTGAACTGGTTGTTGTCCTTTTATATAAATTAAAAAATTTTCCTAAAAATTCAAAGATCGAAAGATATTTAAAAAAGTTCCCTTATGTGAAATATATTCAGTGTAAATTGGTCCTACCGATGTGATTTAGTGTGACTTAAACATTAAAAAATGATCAAGTATTACTGACTTACGAATTCTGCAGCCTTCACACACAGTTGTTGAGCATTGGGTTACTTCTCCTGCTCTTCCCGTAACTTTTGCAGTATAGTTCCCGTAATCACTTGGCAGAAATGATACCGGGAAAACTAATACTGTATTAACATGTTGTATACATTCTGACGTTACCGGAACAACGAAATTGGCAGGAGTAGTCGTAAAGCCCTCATTTGGGTGAATCAAATCACCTTCATGGAACCATAGAATATTTAAGTTGTAAACAATCTGTGATGAACAAAATGTAAAAGTCAAATTGCAGCTGATGTCTTGTAAAAAGCTACACCTTTCTGATTGTTTTAACTGGCAACAGTTCGAAACTGAAATATATAATTATACTTATTGATAAAAGGTCAATTTAATATGGATCAATATAAATAGTCTTAACAAAAGAATTTCTATACGTTAGAAATTTTAAATGTTTTATTTACGTTCAGGTCAAAATAACCGTGCTAAAGTAAAAACGTCTCTTTGATTATTTTTTTAAAAATCACACATTTATAAATTTGTTGCGTCTGTTTTTCTGGATTTACCTTCGTCATGAACGTTTTTGGTTTTTTGTTTTTAAATAAAACAAAACTGTACGTCATCAACAATAAATACTTGAGGCTCTCTATTATAAAAACTACTTTATTGTAATTTCAAAAGATCAAATTGTACTGATAGTTTATGTTACAAAATAATGTGAAGATTGTAAGTCAATATCACAAATTTTGTCAAATTTGCAAAAAAAATCTTATTATTTTCTCGAATTCAAGTCACCCTTAATCAATATTCTAAATTCTAATTAATTTGCATTTTATTTTTACTACTGGTCACTGTACGACCTTCAATAGTGAGCAAACTTGTTCCTTAATGTAAGTTATATGAGGCCACAAAAAACTTAATGTGCAACAATATACAGAGAAAACAAATGAACTGATATAATCTAATTAACAATTAACGAAAGACAATCATGTTATGACAGTCGGAAAGCAACAACATCATCTATGATACAAGAAATAAAATATATAAAATTATCATAGTTTTTAAGGAGCGAAAAGTTTAAAAGCTGCAGTATGCATGACATATAGAGCAATCACTAATCGAAAGTTTGAAGGGGCATTGGCTACGAGATATAAAAAAATAAAATATGATTTGTTATTGTTCAATCATTAATGAAAGTGAAATAATTCGCTTTTAGTGGCCAGTTTGGTTCTATTTTGTCAAAATAAGCTAAGAAACATCGCTGATGAGTTATTCGCCTTCAAATAAATAATTCGACCTCATTGAATCCGTATTCATGGAAACCCTTTAGCTAGAGATGGGTTGGCATGAGCTAGGCGGGTTCAGCTATTAAAAGAAAAAGTTTCAACATTGAACAAGGGTAAACCATTTGGTTGACTGATTTGATCCGCAAAAACTCATTCTTATACAGGTAAAAAAGATGATTAACATATTTGTTTAACCCATCATATGAAATCAAACAGATCAAATTGCACGTGTTCGGTACCCATTTATATCTATATTTATGTTTATATAGGGTTATATGACCGTTGACAGTCTTCGGAGGTCACCTCGGTGGCTGATTAGATGTCGTCTAGACTAAAATAAACACGAAATGCGAATACATATTATTGATTTCATGTAGTGTTAATTGTTCATTTCAGACTTTTTGTAAGATGGTAGGTTATAAATCAAATATGAGAATTTCAGTCAAATCGGTGAACATGAATTTGACAGCTAATGCACCATTAAACTATTGATTTTCAATTTCTTCAGCAAAGCAAAATGAAAACATTCCTAGTGGCTATGAAGACATTACTAAAATAATTAAAACCAATGCAAAATGAAAACATATATACTAATGGTTTTGAAGACATTACTAAAATAATTAAAACCTAGGCAAAAATTATTTTGCAAAAAAACACAGAAAAACAATACCACATAACAAGAAGCATATCATTTTGAAGAATATGGAATTATGAATGGACTTATCCCGAAGGTAGATTAATAAATAAAAAAAATAATATTGACTACTTTAAGAAACAAGATTTCAAGATTTATATTAATTTGAGCGGGATTAATTAGCCAACTCGTTAAAAAAACTACTCGAGCCTATGACTTTTGGTAAAGCCGCTTAACTTAAAACTAGTTATTGGCTTGAGTATAATATAGTTCGTGTCTTGCAACCGGATTTGGGTATTGAACTATCATTGTTATGTTACAATTATTTCATCAAATAATCATTGTGAACAGATACACAGGAAAGACATCTACTTATCTTTCACCACAGAAAACAAGGCATCTTTTAATTTTAATTTTATAAACAAGGAAGTGAAGGCAAGTCATATACTTAAAAGGACTTCAGAATTTCAATTGGTTACGTTATTTCTATCACAATTTATACACACTTTTCTTATTCCATCTTTCATTGAATTAGTTGCTTCCATTTGAATTGTGTTCTCTTTAAGTATACGCCGATGTATGCTTGGAGTTTCTTCTACGTTTTTCTCAAAACAATATAAGACGATAATAAGAGGCAATGAAAAACTACTTGTTAAAGGGAGCTTGACACACCATGACAAGAGTAAAATAGACAAAAAAACAAACAACATTAAAAATACAATAGAAAGACTGAACACAAAACCCTACGAAAATGCGGAGACGAACTCTGGATCTCCAAAAAAGTAACATCAGTATGTGTTTACATTGATTCACAAAAATGTCTTGTATAGCTACTACTTATGATATATATCATAAAATATGTATGCAGTGCAATTTCTTTTTACCAGTTTTTTTATACATATTTTAACAGATTGAGGTACAAATTATCAAATTAAGATAGTTGTAAATGTTCAGATAATTGTAAGATTTTACAATATTTGAGAATAATATTGTTTTGCATTATGAGTATCTTCTCCTGGGTTACGAATATTCTCATAATAAGAGTATAAAAGATGCTACTGATACAGCAACAAAAAAATAAATATTTCAATTCCATTTACCAGTATCATAATGTTTATACAAATTACATATATTTACTTACACGACATGTCTGGATACTCCAATGCAAATATAATGGACATTATTAAAAATTTCTTCATTATGAGAGCTAAAATGTATAATATTCCAATAAATTGTATTGTTACGCAGAATAATAAGATATCAAGGCTAATTTGATGCCCCAAATGCGAATTGATTTTTTAATCTTGAATAAATTTGTTTTTGTCTAATTTCGTAAAATGGAAAAGAGAGGATATGCTGTATAAATACACGACTTCCAATAGAACATGATCTACACAGAATTATGATCTTAATGGTAACTATTTTAGCTCAAATAGTGGCACCCATCATATCGCTCGTGTTAAAATAAGATCCCAGAGCAAGCCATATGCGGCCATATAACAGGCCATGAACAAGGAGGCTTTGTTCAAATTTAATGTTTCATAACTATAGTTTTCTTTGATACAGATATTGATAGAGATATTAAGAGTAACGACCAAGCAACAGATCAATAATTATGTATGCATGTTAATAAGAGGTAACATTTGTTTTCAAATTTGGGCTTTGTTATATATACATCTGTGTTGAAAATGCATATTAGAGTGGGAAATACCAACACAAGAAACACATACATTTTAAACCCTGGAAGTCAAACTTGCCATGCAAGTTATATCTTTACAGAATTAAATTGTTATAATAATTGCCTCAAATTACACAATTGTTTATGCCGTTCAATCGCTTCCTAAAATCAGAAAATTTAACGTTCACCGAATTTTTATTGATACAATTGATCTTGGAAGTACAATTGAAACCACCAAGTCAAACAAGTCAATCTTTTAAAGGGGGCATTAGCTGTCAAATTCGTATTCACCGATTTTACTCAAATTCTCATATTTGATTTATTACATACTAAAACGTATATCCAAATTTTACAAAGTCTAAAATAAACAATTAACAATGCATGGACTCAATGATATTAACCATCGAGAGGACCTCCGAAGACTACCAACGGTCATAGAACCCGATATAAACATAGATATAAATATGAATAGATAGCGACCACGTGCAATTGGATTTTTCTAAGTCTTTCATTTCATATTGTAGGTTAAAAAGTATGTTTATCATCGTTTTAATCTGTATAAGAATGATTTTTTGTGGATCGAATCAGTCAACCAAATGGTTCATCCTTGTTTCATTTTCAATGTTTACATTCTTTTCCTTTTAATAGCTGAATACATGCGTAACCCATCTCAAGCTAAGGGATCAAATTGAAGGTCACATGAATACGAATTTAATGAGGTCGAATTATTCACTTGCCAGTGAATATTTCATAAGCGATATTTCTTAGCTTACTTTGACAAAATTTAACCAAACTGTTAATGATTGAACAAAAAACAAATCATATTTTATTTTTTTTTTTATATTTCGTAGCTAATGCCCCTTTACGGAACTTAAACGTGATCAATGTGCAATTGAATTGATTTGACTCCTCTGAAATCCCTAATTAAATAATGTAGCTGTATTTTGTTTTATTTAGAAAGCAATTGAGCCAATCGTACTTGAAAAAGATTAACATCCCTAGTCTAAGAAAGTAAATTTTATCAGTTTTCCATAGATCCTGTCAATCATAATAGTTGGTCTTCTGTTATGAATTGTTCACAATTTTGTCTTGACGGGGCCATTTGTAGCTTACTATACGGTATGAGTTGTAATCAGTTTTTTTTTTTACATCCTCGGCCTTTTGTTTCTAGTAAAAAGTCTCATCAGCAATCATACCACATCTCCTTATTTTATATAGGTTGAAATACCTTTATATTAACCCAAAACTTACTGCTTTCTTGTTTAATTAAATGTTGTACTTATTTATATTTTTTTAGGAAAGAAAGGATAATATAGTTACTGGCCTTCTTTGGCTCTAAAACGTCTACAACGATAATAAATTGTACTATCCAAATATCTAAACTCAATAGATTTCTGGTTGAGATAGTAAATTCTTGTTCGTTTGTATTTCCTTGTTCCATTGGTTTAATTGAAAGAATTGATTCGTACAATACAATTTATACAATTGACTCAAATGAACACTGCATGCGAAACTGGTTCACGTTTACTCCATCCGTTTATTCATAATGAAAAGAATTTTATTAATAGTGCTAGTTTTTGTCGGATTACAAATAGAAATTCTATCAAATATTAACTGAAATTCATTGCTTTAAGATAGTTTTTACATAATCTTCCAAAATTAACTTCAATATATCTAATCATGTTTTGTTTGTCGGATATTAAAGTTGAAAATTACACTTTATAAATTTCGTGCATCCGAATCGCTTTTCTGGATTAACATTTATCAAAAACACTCAGACCCTATTATTTGAGCATTTGAAAGCCAGGAATTTATGATTACTTAGAATAGTTTAGGTTCATATGACCTAAAGGACATCAAAAGAATAGCCAAATTAATGTAATTGTTTTTTATGATAGATTGATTTAAAAATGTGCTTAAAATGAAATTTATTAGTGTTGATGGAAAAAATATCAAATGTGAAAAATTGATAATACAATCTTACCCTGTTCAGCAGTTTTATATCGGAGAACTTGATTTGTTTTTACTATAGTGATACATGATACCTCCGGAAAGCCTATCAATAATAAAAACCTTTCTTCCGACTGTCTCTATATATGAAGCGTTATCAAACACGCTTATACATGACAAATCCAAAGAGCACACTTCACATATTTTAAAAATAAATATTATAGACACTTAAAGAAATAGGTTACTTGTATTTTACGTCAAAGATTATGGTTTCAAAACTATTTATGTTATAAAAATAATTTTTTTTTAGTCTATTAATAGTATGCAATTTTATATGATGCTGAATATAATACTATCATCGTTTTGGTTAATATACACATTGTTGAAAAAAATAATTCACTGTTTCTTTTTTGAATTAAGGAAGTTATAAATATTTGTAATTAAGGGGATAAAGTAGAATTTAGTTAAGACGGCTTATTGGGATCTACAAACATTAATAATGGTTAATTTTACTATTAATACCATTAAAATCGGCCACAATTTCAAATATTTGAATTTAGTACAATTGATTTCTTATATCATTTTTGCAAGCAGGAGGATTTTCTCTCTATTATCTTCATCATTTGTGAGCCCAATCGTCAGGAAATTGCATAACTCTAACTCTTCAATTCTAAATGTACTTACTGTCATTTCGTGCCATTATTACTTCCATAAAAGAAATATTTTATGCAAAATGTCAAGATAAAAATTTAGAAATATCTATATAACAATATATCCTTCAAACTGGTAGTTTATATTTTCTAAATTTGAAAATATCAAAGATAAAATGAATCACAAAAAATACTGGATAGTACAACAGACCAACATTTCAACTACCAATGCGTGTGTGATAACAATAGTAACCCAAATTCCTGTTTTCAGTTTGTCCCAGAAAAGAATAGTGCTAATGAGTTACACTTCCCTAAATTTTTGAAGTATATTTACTTCCAGTTAATCTTATCTATTGAACTTTTTCAAAGCTTGCTGTATGGTTTGAACAGTTATTTATCATTGAATATTTCAGAAGATAGCGATAAAGCGACCGATATCAAAAGTCGAAAAGGACAGACAACACCAATACCAAAAGATAAAATACGTAAAGACAAAATAGTAGTTGCACTTAAAACAATGAGCAAAAGTATCCCATTAAAACCCTGGAATGGAAAGCAGTTCTTGTTCATCGAGTGACACCTGCTGTGATAATCTTGCATATTGATGCATGCATATCAAAAGGCATCCTTTTGGAGTTTTTACAATTCCCTCAGTATTTGTTTGTTACCCTGATTTGTATCTTCTCAATTGACTTATGAGATTAAGGTAATGTTGCCTAATGTATTCGTGTCAAAATCTTAAAAATCAATATATATATATTGGTGAAAGATATTATACAGTGGCAACTGGTAAATGCATTTTGGCTCATCCGAAGACATTTACTTATATAAACAATAGATATATGTAAATTCTTTAACTGGTACACATTTTTATATGATATTTTGAGTTCAATCGTAGGTATTTAATTAGTTCATGTTATCTTGTCATAGTACTTGGTGTTGTATTTGTGACATTTTAGTTGTATGCCTGTAATGTTACTTTTGCAGTGGTCTTGTTGGTGTCATTAAAACAAGGAATGAGTTTTTGTGATTTAGATGTTTTGGAAATCTTACCCCTCTCTCCAGGCATTCGAGCATTGTTCTTGACAAGTAAAAAGTAAAATAACAAAAATATCGAACTCCAAGGGAAATTCAAAACGGAAAGTCCTTTATAAAATGGCAAAGTCAAAAGCTCAAACACATCTAACGAATGGAAAACAACTGTCATATTCCTGACTTGGTACAGGCATTTCCTTATGTAGTAAAAGATTATGACAAGTATCATTTCGTGTTATGTCATTGACGAGGACAAAATGAGTCATTTGTGGTATACCACAAATTTACTTATCCACGTCATATTGTTGACCTCTTAACGTAACTGTTTGATGATCGATTGCCTTCTGATTACCACACTTAATATCTCTTTTTATATTAATCATTATATGCCGCAACATATAAAGACTACATTTTGTATAATTTAATTGATATCTCTACTGTTGGACTTTAATTATTTCTGGTGTCATAAACTCAGTGCTTCCACACAAAAAGGAAAGACATTGGCTGAGCCATCACTTTGTTAGTAATTAAATGACTAAAACAGATAAGATACACAATACATAACACGGCTTCACTATATACATAAACTTACTCAAAGTCTTAAGGTTGCATTTATCAATGAAATAATATAAGTGCTCGGTTTATAGAGATAACTATAACATTGAAGTCCAAGAAAGGCCAAGAAACATCCGTGCTATTTTGAAATATAACTTTGGGGTATTATAATCATGTACCGATTTAACTGGTAGATGGTTACGTAACTCTATATCAAAAAAGGCAATAATGATAATAATATTCAAATGCAGTTGAGATGTTATAATAAACAAGAGGGCTAACATATAGATTGTAGTCTTCGTAGTGAATTGAATGATTTCCCAATATTGGTTATGATAAATTTTTAAATACTCTTACACATTAATATGGTAGGTCTTTGCTTGATTTATTTGATTAACCAATCTTTTTGTTTTTTTGTTTTGGTTCAAAAAGTTAGCTTGTCGTTAACAATATCCTATTTTTTTAAAGTTCTGTCTGATTTTTCGAAGATTACTTAAGTAGAACCTTCAAGTAAACTGATTATTTAATTCCTTAGTGTTGTTCACTCTGGCCCTCATTTTTTCTCCGAAAGTACCTACTCAAGCTCATTTCGTTTATAATGCATTAAAATAGACATGACAGTGGTGTATTTGAAGAGCATTGTTTATGAAGAGTTAACATACTCAATTAAGTATTTGAAGATCAAACTGTTATTCAGTATTGTTATCATTTACAATAATCTTCATTGAGCGCTAGAAACACTTTGTGCTGTATACATGTATATACATTGTGTTCTTGTTTCAGATTCGGACGAAAATACTCTTTGAAGATCCACACTGAAGTCAACAATAAATACATTGAAGTTGATATCATTAAAATGATGAAGATTTTCCATGCCGATTGATAATGTAAATGGATTCTAGACAAATCAAAAGTCTAAAGTTTTATTTGTTTAGAAAAAAGTGAAAAGAACACGTCCGAAGCATTTTTCTGAATTTACCTTCATTAGGAACGCTCAAAGCCGAATATTTTGCTTTTGATCTTAAATAAAATTAATGTTTAGTTTTCGATATGAATGCAAGGTGATGTGGAGTGTATGCCAATGAGACACCAACCAAGCGACAAAAGTATACAAAAGAACTTAAAAGGACAATATAACATCTTCAACGATAGACATATCTTTATACAATGTGTCACATTCTAAAACATCAAAATTTTATGAAAGCTGTAAATAAATCAAACAGAAATATTTTAAGACCTGTTATCAATAGTTGATTACCTCATTGGCCTGCAGTCTATAGCTGTTGATATTTTGATAGACCAACGGTCTAAAGCCGTTGATACTAATAATCTACATCAGTTGATACCCTCATGGGTAAACGACAAATGAGAGTTAATCCCATAATCGACCTGTAGTCCTCATAAGTTGATCCCCTCATCGACCTGAAGAATACATCAGTTGATCCCTCATCGACCTGTAGACTACATCAGTTGATCCCCTCATCGGCCTGTAGACTACATCAGTTGATCCCCTCATCGACCTGTAGACTACATCAGTTGATCCCCTTATCGACCTGTAGACTACATCAGTTAATCCCATCATCAACCTGTAGATGTTGATACCATCATTGATCAACGGCCCAAAGCAATTCATACCATTATAAAGAAATATTTTATTGCAGTTGATACCCTCACGGACCTGTAATCTTCAGCAAATGATACCAACATTGTCGAATAATTTACAAATGTTAATACCATAATTAACCAACAGTCCTCAACTGTTTATACCAACATTGATCGACGGATCAAAGCAATTGATACCATTATAAAGAAATATTCTACATCCAATAGCAGTTGATATCCTCATCAACCTGCAGTTTACAGTAATTGATACCTTTATGGACAAACAGCTCACATCAGTTGATATCCTCATCGACCTGCAGCTTACAGTAATTGATACCTTAATGGACAAACAGCTCACAACAGTTCATATCCTCATCGACCTGCACCTTACAGAAGATGATACCATTATACAGAAACTGTTCACATGAGTTTATAACCTGGGAACAGATGTTGGTACCCTCATTGACCTATAGTCCACAGCAGTAAATATCATAATGGAAAGACGATCATCAAAAGTTAATACCATTGTAGAGAGATAGTCCAATGCAGTTTATACTCTCTAGGACTGACGGTCCATTGAAGTTGAGATCGTTATTTAGAAACAGTCCACAACAGTGAATACCCTCATATACAAACCGACTACAGCTGTTGATAGCTTCATGAACCTATAGTTTACAGCAGTTGTTACCATACTAATTGTTTGTTCAGGAAGATATCAATTGGAGTGGACTGTTCCCACATAATGATATCAACTCCAGTGTGCCGACGATGCATGAAGATATCAACTGCTGTGAACTGTTTGTCCATAATGGAATCAACTGGTGTGGGCCGTGCGTCCATGAGGTTACTTACTCATGTGTTATTTTTGTCCATGAGGGTACTAACATATGTGTTATTTTTGTCCATGAGGGTACTATATCTCATGTGCTATTTTTGTCCATGAGAGTACTAACTCATGTGTCATTTTTGTCCATGAGGGTACTAAGTCATGTGTTATGTTTGTCCATGAGGGTAATAACTGTTGTTGACAATAGATTCGTGAGGGATAAACAGCTGTTTTAAGTTTCAGGTCTGCAGGTCTTCAGGTCTGTCGGTTTGAAGATGTATATAGAATAAGGCCGTGTTGTATTCGTTGTTAACTTTATTTGTACGTTTTTGTTTGGCGGAATCGGAAGGTGTTGGTTGGTATAGTCAACGTACTGTCCAATATTTTTGATAATTACTGTTATCCTTTACTTGTATTATACTCTTTCTCATAGTTTTGTCCTTGATGTGCGTTTCTCTTCGTGAGGAATTCTGATTCATATTTTTACTTTTGTTTTCACTTTTTATTAGAAACGTTCTATTTGTGAGTCAAAAATTAAAAACAAAAACAAAGCATTTGAAAACAAAAGGTTTATCTGAAACAGTGTAGTCTTGACAACAGTTTCATTATAATACTAATATTATTTGTCAGATTATTTTTTTCTAATTTCATTAATACTACAGGAAGGTTCCTTTAGAGTAAGCAATAAAATAGTACGAATAAGAAATAAATCTGTAAACTACGATTGATCAACATCAGTAACAATAAAATACTGACGAAATAAAAATTCAATTGACTTATAAGTCTACAACAAACAGTCAAATATGAACTAAAAAAGATAAATAACAACATTTACGAAAACATTAAATTAAATATATTAATGATTTACTTTGTCAAAACATATTGCGCTTCATATGTTTGTATAATAATGATAGTATTTTATATCATTGAATATTATATGGTCCATTAATCCGTTCTCTGTGCTCTTAAATATGACGCTTCTCTGACCTTCCTTCTTTAACTAACAAATCTCAGAAAATGTTTCAGGGCACAAAATGGAAGTGTGTTTTTACTTTTCTAGACGGTGTGACAGAATTTATGACGTCACAGTATCATGTAAGTCTCCTTGTTCTCTTGATATTCTGGTAATCATGTACTGAAACCAAAACATAAATGTTCTTGTCAATATCTTAAAAGGAAGACAGTAAAACACAGATAAAGATAGCACAAAAATGAAAAATACATTTTCAGATATTAGAATTCTTTATCGTCCTGAATAGAAAAAAACTTCTAATAAACCGGTTTTGGTGGGGTTCTTGTGGATTAATTCTTAGTTTTCTTTGTATGCTTTTGGGGACTTGTTTTCTTTGGATCATTGTATTCTGATTTGTTTTTTACCTTGTTGGTTTTCTTGACCCTTATTATTTTTTCCTCCTTTTACGTTGTACAAGCTAAAAATAAATCTGACTTTAAGAGTTCAATCTACTTTTTTGAATCAATATTGATATCCGTTTAAAGATAGTTTGCGTTTTTAGTTCGTTCAATCAAATAGTAAAATAACAAAAATACCGAACTCCAAGGAAAATTCAAAACGGAAAGTCCCTTATCAAATGGAAAAATCAAAAGCTCAAACACATCATACGAATGGTGCAGAATTCCGTGGATTTATAGGCACCTGTTAGTGTTTATTTTAGGTATTTTTGTCATATAGCTCTTATTTTCGGTTCCGATACTTGTACATCCTTGGATTTCAAATGTTTGGCTTTGAGCGTTCCTGATGAAGGTAAATCCAGAATAGCGCTTCGGACGCATGAAATTATTAAACGTGTTGTTTTCAATTTTTTACATCACTGGGTCGATCCCTCTGCTGCTGGACTATCAGTCCCCGAGTGTATCATCAGCTAAGTAGTCAGTACTTCGGTACTGACATGATTTAACAAACTTTTCTAAAATTGTCCGTTTTTAAATTTTGAAATTATTAAGAAACTAAGGTTTCAACTCCCTCAGGCAAAGTTGACTTTAGATGAATTTGGCTATTTATTTTAGGTATTTTTGCCATATAGCTCTTCAACGGTTTCGATACGTATACATCCTCGGATTTCAAATGTTTGGCTTTGAGCGTTCCTGATGAAGGTAAATCCAGAATAGCGCTTCGGACGCATGAAATTATTAAACGTGTTGTTTTCAATTTTTTACATCACTGGGTCGATCCCTCTGCTGGTGGACTATCAGTCCCCGAGGGTATCATTAGCTAAGTAGTCAGTACTTCGGTACTGACATGATTTAACAAACTTTTCTAAAATTGTCCGTTTTTTAAATTTTGAAATTATTAAGAAACTAAGGTTTCAACTCCCTCAGGCAAAGTTGACTTTAGATGAATTTGGCTATTTATTTTAGGTATTTTTGTCATATAGCTCTTCAACGGTTTCGATACTTATACATCCTCGGATTTCAAATGTTTGGCTTTGAGCGTTCCTGATGAAGGTAAATCCAGAAAAGCGCTTCGGACGCATGAAATTATTAAACGTGTTGTTTTCAATTTTTTAGTGTTGTTGAAGAGATTGATTATATTATTATGTAAAATGAATATCAAATCATACTTTATACACATAAGTCATTATTTTTGGTATGAAATGGTTGATAAAAATATGGTTCATATAAAATCATACCTATACCCCCCCCTTTTTTTGGTCGCCTTTTACAAGCTCCTATAAATGAATAATCGTTTCATTTTGCTTTTAAAAAACCAGTATGTATGAATATGTGAATAGTGAATTACATCTTTTATGTTATCGGTCATCAGGTTGATAATAGTTATTGCGACTGGCATATTATTGTAAATGTATGTCTCACACACTACACTTATCTAACAGTATTGGAACGATTGGTATGAATCATTTTTAATGTAATGTTACATATTTAGAAAAACCTTACCAACTAAATTAGGCAGACTCTGGTTAGTTTGAATTTCTTCTAATCTTGATACTAGTATATTGATTGGTAGGCGCGTCAGTTGTGGTTCCTCTGTTCTTTCTGTTTGTTGGTCTTCATTCTGGTCAGAACTTAATATAGTAAGTGTCGAAGCGAAAGCTGAATCTCCTGCACTCTCATCTACAATATTAAAATTTTCTGGTTATTCACAAGCTTAATGTAATCTGTAAAACTGTCAATAGAAACTTGAATAGTATCTCTACATAGGTGTTAAAAGCAAAAGGTAAATTGGACATCAAAAGGATGTAACAAAAAAAAATTATCAAAGGTACGAGTAAGACAATCAAATACTACCAAAAACAATGCACGATACAATATATCGCAAAAACAACAGATAACTCTGAGAATTAAAGTTTGAGATTTACCAACTCTCATTAAAGGGACGTAAAGTACGTGCTCAGGACAGTGGGTATTTTCTGTTCTGCAACTGGGACTAGTCTTAATGACTGTCGAGGGTCGAAATAAAGTCATCACAACCAACATAATGCATCATTATAACGACGTTGGGTAATAAGTCATCATCATGATCGTTATGTTCAAAGACAATGCTTCCATCTCCCACTTTACTTTTTCAGCTTTCAAGATCGAGAGTAATCACAAATTTAAAAGTCTCATCAACTTTTCCTTTCCTATTGTACATTTTTCTTCCTTGTCGGCGATGTTTCGTTGGACCCTTCTGGTGAACAAAAAAAAAACCAAAGACAGCAAGTGTAACCTTAAACTCAAAAGGACGGAAACACAATTGTAAATTGGAAAAACAAGAAAATACAAGAGAATACAATAGTCCAGAAATATATTACACAGAAACCTAAAGTTTCAGCAACATGGGACCAATCGTTAACATGGAAGATCTCGGAAGATCATTAACCATATGCAGTTCTCTGTCCTCTGGTTCAATATGCATGTATTTAAAGGGACAACACAATTGACCATTGATTTATTTTAGACATGAATACTTTACCAACACGGATATCATAAATTGGCCCAACAACTGAAATTCTTCAACAGCAGGATAAATATATCATAAAGTGGTTTTAATTTTTACCAAATGTAATCACAAAAGTATAATTATATTATTTCAGAATGAATTATTATATTTGCTTGAATTAATAAACAATCAGTTGTATTTCGCATCAGCTGTTTATAGTTATATTTATTAGTAAACAAACAAGTATAATTAGACTGTCCTTCACCAGCGAATAAGGATGTAAGGTTAGTGTGGCGAAACCCTTACAATTTCGAATTAAACGAAAACGTATTCGGACGAGTTTTATACTATCAAAATGATATTTTTTTCAGAGTTTAGGAGGGAGCATATCAATGCGCCTTTGTATGAATCCATGCCTACTTCACATTATGTGCGATAACATCATGATTATCTTTTGGCAATTTTTCTACATCTTACTCTTCCTGAATAAAATACCATTATTGTGATAAGTCACATTTTCTTAATCGTTAAAATCACCTTGAATATCTTGAAATGTTGGATTATTATAATGGTGTCGACTGACGTTTCTTGATAGCAACCCCTGGTATCTGCTGGGACCACTTAATTGGACAGAAGCATATGTATGATTTGATACGGCTGTTGATGCTTCATCAGATGATACATGGTCATCAGATATTGTGCTTGTAGGTCTGAAAAATGAATAAAAACAATTAGAAAGACGTAGTGGTAGTTTCCTTATATAAGATGATGATACTCGATCTTCTGATACTGGCTTGTCTAAAATACATATATTATTTTTTCTGAATTTGAATCCGACCGACAATTATCTTTTTGATATTTATTAATTACGCAGAGACCGACTTGTATGAAAATAAGTCAATGATAATCACCCATAGTTTTATATATATTTCAAAACAAAAGCATACCATACCTCGTAGGAGTTTGAATAGGTCTTCTCCTAGCTGTAAAAGAATAAAGGTTGAATATATGTATGTTAGTAAAAAATTGCAAAAATTATATCATTGAAATACACAAGTATTGAAATATTTGCTTAACATTAAATTTATCTTTGCATATTCAAAAGTTTTTCACGTGAAGTGAATCGCGAATCTCTTAAATGTGCAATCTACTATTACGTGCAGATATCATGTCAGAATATTTCAATATATGGACTCTTTCATTCAATCTTCGATACTGTTTTTTTTTATATTAGTTTACATGTAATTCCTCCTGTGTGTTTGTCGTCTATAATACTTAAATATACGAAACGAGCGTCTGGTGTACAAAATTTTTGTCCTGGTATCTATGATGAGTTCATAAATAACATAATCTTTTGAAGACCACATGTTGCCCTCAGTCTTTTGTTGTTTTACTGTGTTTTTCGGTTGGTGTCTCGTTGATGTTTAACCCCTTTTTCCATCTCTTTTAATTCGTATTTATCAAAGAACGACAACGTTTGCAAGTTTGCTATAGGTAGGCGATCAAATACAAGTTTTTTTTTTAATAACTCTCATCTGGTATGGTCGAAAACATTTATAGTCGTATATGTAAATAAAAAACGCATCAAAACCAGAGAGACCTTTACTGGGACTTGACTGTAAGTGTTGATCTCCACCTATTGCAACAGTGGCGAGCAACACTTACAGTCAGGTTACAATAACAAAAAATCCAAATTGAAGGAAAACTCAAACTATGTTAAACAATTACGTTTTACAACAAAGGTTGTAACTTTAAGACACTTAATTAACACTTAATCTTTATATAATAATTTTATATTTTACCTTTCTTCCTTACAAGTAACACAATCGCACAACTTATTATAACTGTCATCAAAATTGCAACAATACCAGTGACGATATAAATGTAGACATTTCTAGTTATATCTGTTAAAAAAGGAAAGAACGCTTAAGATAAATACTTTTTGCCTTGCTTAAGCTTTCCCTGTTGAATTTTGTTTTGTTTTAGTCTTTGATTTCAACGATATTTCAATATTTATTGGTCACGATTATACTTCTAGTTTTGATCTCAAACTTTCCCATTTTGGTAATGAAAAGTTTTAGATGGAATTATTAAAACAAAGGTAAATGTCAAAACAAATATATTAACTTCATCATAGAAGTTTCAATCAATTTTTGTCTACTTAATCAAACCTTTCAGTTCAAACGATAAGATGACGAAACATACTGTCATAGTGTCAGACAATAGTTAATTTGGTACATTCTACCATCATTTCTATGTGAATTGTTTCTCATAACGTATAGTTAGGTATATGACAAAATGTGATACAATTCTAACAAGAAAACCAACGGCCCGATTTATGACAAAACAATAAATAAACTAAATACGAATATTGCAGACAGCAAACAACGACAATCACTGACTTTGGACAGATAAAGAATTTTGCGAGGATAAACATGTTTGTGAGCGCTGAACCATCCCCTAACTTGGGACAGTGGTGTAACAGCATAACATAAGAACAAGCATTCATAATCAGTTGGAAATTAATTAACTCATTAGATAGGCACCAAGCACAAAACAACTAACATAAAAACAAAAGACACATGATACCGATCTAAGAATAATATCATTAGTTACATAGTGTGTTAGTGACCTAATACGATATATACCGGGTCAGTAAATTCCATATGGGGTGAGAGCGAAGGTTACTAGCACACTATGTAACGAATTTATCTTACCGACTATCTTTATTTGTTGAATTTAGACTAGAGTTGTCTCATTTGCAATCATACCACATCTTCTTATTTTTATATTAAAGTGTTCAAGTGTTCAATTTTAAGAACTTCTTCCATTGGTCTGCACAAAAAAAAATAATGTCAACAATAACAATTTAATATGAACAACCTTGGTATAACAATATTAAACAGAACTTTCAATACATTTAAATAATCAAATAGTGCAAAACTCCACTACTAACCGTGTATTGAAATAAGCCCCGCCTCCCTACTAACCTAATATGGAATATACACGGTCTACACGCGGACGCTTTTAACCAATCATATTCCTAGAAACGTATAGGAGGATATTGTAAAGTAGCATACTTGTAGTACAAAGCATTTATGTAAAATGTTACCACTGTGACATTATTTACAATTATAGTGTATGTGTTTAACATTATTTACAATTATAGTGTATGTGTTTAGTTTTTACTCTATGTTTCTAGAATAGGGCCATGTGATTTGCAGTACTACAGTTTAACCACTACATGTTAGTTACCAACCGTATATTTCACATATAATATATAATGTATGTACCCGTAGATACTGTCTGTTCTTCTTCCTCTTGCTGGTCATCTGAATAATAAATAATAGAAGGGAATAATGATATGCTGTATAGAATTTCAGAGTTTAATTCTTCAGTTTTTCAGAAGATGAGAGACCGAATTAAAGTATGATCGTCTAGCCGTCTTTGAACAAATTCAGAGTGATATCAAGATGTCGTTTGATTGATTGCCTTGTATTGTGTATTGTTTAACACATTTTAACGTTGACTTTTTGTGCACTTTTATACTAACTGCATTTTTATAATGAGAATACCATCTTCTGAATGTAAATATTATATCAGGAATAATATATCATTAGTTCATTTTATAATCCTAACTAATTAATGTTGTGTTTTGCAATCTTTTTCAGACACCCGAAATTCCTAAATTCCCATTAATTTTAAATCACGTGTTTAATGTAGAAAATGTAAAAGATAAATATGGATCTGAGAGGAGGTTCCAGAGACAGAATTCAGTATGAAGTTGTATCACAATTTTAAGTTAAATGTGCTACATGATTTGCTTATTAAAGATAGTACAAAAAACACAGTGTTATTTGTAGTACTGGGTGATTTCCGGAACGTCATGTGTCAATTTACTAGATTTTTACGTTGGTCCATAACTGGCTTGTAGAAAAGAGATACATGTAAGGATATGTCTGGTTTCGTGAAAATAAACTTAAGGTAAAATATTGAAAGAGACAATCGATTGTAGATTTTTTTTATTTTTGTCATTTTAATTGAGGTACATGTATAAATGATTTTTCAAACTTGCGAATTGAAAGCGTACAGTTTCAGTTCCAAATTCATTTATTTATTTTGTATATCTATATATAATTAAGCATATCGAAAGCATTGCAAGTCTAAATCACATACCCATTCTATTTATATAGCACGATTTCTAGGCAAGATCAAATGAATTGCAAAATAAGTAAAGGTTGAGTCAAGTTCATACGGTTCTTACGGAATTCTTCTCAAGTTCCCAAAATCACGTGAATCCACGCTTGCATGAAGCTTGCGTGACCTGTTGGTAGAATTTGTTGCTAACAATTTTTTTTTAGAACTCAAACATGGATAACAACGTTGAAAAATCGAGACGATCAAGCGTACATATTTTTTACGGTCATTGTGAGGTATGAATGATCTTTCAAGTTTGTGTAATAAAAGCATCTTTGCAAATTTTCAAAATCTTTTATTTATATATGATTTATCTATTTGCACATGTGGTTTAAGGAGAACTAAAGACAGAAGAAGAGCTGAAGCCTTTAATCTTTCAACAGCTTCTATTCTAATCCTGTCGAATCAAAAGCGATATTTAAAATTGTAAGGGCAAAAACACATAACCATCGGATTGCTATTCAGTGGATAAAAATATAGTAAAATTGTTGCACAAAAGGCGTTTTTATATAGTGAGATAGAAAGACTGACCTATGATACAATTTTTACACACATGTGTAGAACACAGCACTTGTTCCCTATCGTTGTACAGTTTTACTGTATACATTCCATAGGCTTCGGTAGTACGGGGTAATTTTAATGTAGCTTTCACTTCCTGTGCACAAACTGATCGAGGCATACAAGGGCCTTTGTACTCCACTTCTGTAAAATTACTATTTGTTTTGGTACCATTTATTCTCCAGTAAATAAGGTACTCTCCTTTAATAAGAGGTTGTGACAAATGGAAAGTAACATGTAAGGAACATTGGGTTAATGTATTACATCCAATCGATGGCCTCACTTTACAGGAATGTGGAACTACAAAAAGAATTGGAGATAATGTAAATGCATAAATAATTGAAAGCAAGCGTTAATATAAATGAAGGCAACAGAGATGCCTGTACAAAGTTAGGAATATGACAATTGTTTTCCATTCGTTTGATGTGTTTGAGCTTTTAATTTTGCCATTTGATAAGGGACTTTCCGATTTGAATTTTCCTTGGAGTTCGGTATTTTTGTTATTTTACTTTTTACCAATGTTCAAATCTCGATAATAAATAAAGAAGACAAAGAAAAGTAACCAAAAAAAACTAAAAAAAACTAAAGGAATCGCACAAACTCCAAAAAGAATCGATACCAGGTGCGTCGACTAAGTAAGCGTATCATGCTATGCATGCATCACCGGCCATGCAAATCCACATTCAGTTAAAATGTCACAATCGGTAATAAAATTCAATCGGTAATATTACAGATTAAACGACTATCGGTATTCTTGGATATAAAGCTCTCTTATACTGCAAAAACATGTTGCGAGTGAGTTTAGATACAGACATATCTGTCAACCGATTCGTGATGGTGACGGTAAACAATGTGTGGTGTCGATATCAGCCCTTGTATCGCATAACTCTGTTGGAGAAGATTAATATCCGATACCCTGTTACCGTCTTTATGCTACACAAAGGTTAAACTTTGAAGACGGTTTAATCTTGGAAAAGACGAATTGTCATTAAGTCCCTAAATAACCCACATAATTATTCGAAAAGTATTAATGTACAGATTTCATTGATTTATCTTATAATATAAATAAGCGGGATAAATGTTCTTGCATATATTACAATAGTTTACATTTTACAACATGCAGTCAATTAAAATGATTTTAGTCTACTTTACCTGTGCTGGGTTTGAGTATGCAAAAGTAGTAAATAACCTGCAAGGTGATAGGGCAGATTTGAATTGACTCTAATCGAAAATATAAGTACTTCTGTATGCATATACTGCAAGAAAGACACCTGATAGACATGCTAAATCTACACAGACATCGCGGTTTGATGTTTAAGGATTTCAGATCAAATTCATATTAAAATGGCTATTTCAGAAGTACTTTTTGCATTTAGAAATGACTCGATCTCTGAATTAATAGCATACCAACCATCGATGTCTCTAGTTAATGTATGTGGAGCTACATGTACATTTAAAAACAAATTGGCGGGACGGGACATGGTTAAAACATGTGTGGTTATCGTCAAACTGTATATAAATATATAAAAATTCATGATGCTGTTGAATCGTCTGCTTTTTTGAGGTATATTTTTTTTTTGTCTCTTTGTTTTTTGTTTGTTGTATTTTGAAGATGCTGTTAACAACTGTTAAGATGATGAACAGCACTAAGCGATGTACTTAATTTTCATTCTCTTCAGACTTTATTATCTCAGGAGTGTTATATACACCAGTCGTCTTTTTCGATTCAATTGAGCAATCGAATTTTATTTTTTTTTATTAGTTCTTTATTTCAAGTTGCATACATTTTTCTTGAAGCAAACTGTCACTCAGGTAGAAATTATACATTCAGGATATGAATTCACAATACATTTATAAACTGTATCTTGAACGTCAAGTGGCATATATTCACAATAGTCTATTTATATCAACAAGACACACACTCCGGAATGTGTGAGTAACATCATGTAATCTTCTACTTGAATAATTTTGTTTGTGATTTGACAATACATGTTGGTTATATGGGACTATTGTAAATAAAACTCCTGATAACGTCGATCAATATATTCATAAATAGGGTTTTCCTGAACATACATGACATATTTGCCACTGGACGTTAAGCAACCAACAATCAATCATTTATGAATAGGATCTGCTGTTTGGTTAAAAGGACAAAGTATGATAGTTTGACAACTGAGGGTTGGTTACAGTTATATATAAATGATGTTTGCCTTTATGGAATTTGGTGTTGAGTTCATATCTTTAATAGTCTGATTAACTTATTTCGATGGACTCGGTGTGATTAGAGCATGACATATTGTATAATCACGTGTATATTCTTGAAATCGTATGTTGACGTCTAGAGGTATTCTGTGTTCTTTTGTGATAATGGGCAGCTGTCAATAAATATATTCTCGGAAATGTATACACAAATCTCAGTAAAAAAAACTGCGCCATGATCACATATTGACATTCACATCTGGCATCAAATATATTTAGTTTTGGTCATGCGCCGTGATCACATATTGACATTCACATCTGGCATCAAATATATTTAGTTTTGGTCATGCGCCGTGACCACATATTGACATTCACATCTGGCATCAAATATATTTAGTTTTGGTCATGCGCCGTGATCACATATTGACATTCACATCTGGCATCAAATATATTTAGTTTTGGTCATGAACAGCTGATGTGTGGTATAATATTACTTTAAACGGATTTTTTTAAATTTTTTTCTGTAAATTTTATTCTTAATCTGATAGTCTGCTTATATCAAAAAGCTTGATATACGTCCAGAAATTATGCATTTCTCCCATCGTGCATTTGAGAGAAAAACTTGAATAAAAATAACTTACGAATTCTCGTTGTAACAATACATTCTAAAGCAAAGATGGTAAGCAACTGTAACAGTATCTTCATTATGCAATCTGAAAAACATTAGAAACAGTAAATTGTTACTAGTGTATAACAAATATTCACCTAGATATGAATATGGAATACGCCTTATTCTGTTAATTTCCCATTCCATAAAGTAGACTTTTTTTCATTCTTGAAACTTTAAGCCTTGAATAATTCTACTTAAGATTAGATCAGTTAAAGCGCTTAGAAATACCGCAACAAGTTTATTATAGTCCACTCTGACTCGTATACATGTGTCGATATCACTGCACGTGAAGTGCCAGTCACCAAGTGTATCATTGGAATTGAAGTCAGTCTAACAGAACTGTTTTTTAAACAAACAGCTTGATAAGTTGATACCTTTGGTAATTCTGCGTGTTATGTATGATTCCAGATCGAATACGGTCAAACTTTGTTTTGGTGTCTTATCTCTTGGCTGTATCCTCCTTTTGAATAAAAACTGTTCCAAAATTTATTTTACATCTCCGGCTTTCCAAAGTAGCAAACCGAAAAACTCTTCGATATTTTTTTATTCAATATGATAGTATTTTTACTGTTAAATCACCTTAATAATGAATTGTCTTACTGTTAGTTAACAGTATATTGTTTCCTTATTTGGATATAGTATATGGATAATTTAGGTCAATCACAATGATAATCAATGACATTTGAGTGAAATAAAATTATCACATACCAAATCTACTTAAATACTTGAAGAACTTACTGAGAAAAAGAACAATCGTATCTCAAAGATAATTTCCAACAATATGTAAATTAAATAGAAATGAATAGAAAAGATTTGAACACTTACCTTAAGTTTTATTAAGAAAATAATATTAGTAATTCAAAGTGTGAAGGTTAACTGATTTAACCGGAAAACCCATCGATATAGATGGGGTTATTTCTTCCGACTATCAACGAGTACATAAAGCTGTCGTAAGGATAGTTAACACTTAAAAAACAAAACATTGTTCTTTGTAGTTATAAGTTGTCCTTAAACTGTACCGATCTGTGATTCAGAATTTCCTGTTATAAATAAAATATTCATTTTTATATTAAAAGAAGTCTCTGTATTTTTCATTTAGATCTGACGTTTTTGTCGTCTTTAACTCCTTTGAACAAATAACAGAACATGCTTACTTTTCCAGATTTCGTGAAAAAAATATGGGACTATTTATATGCTCACTTCACAAAGTCATATTTTCCCAGTTTTATCGTGGAAACATGAATAAGGTCGTTCTCGTTTTCACCTTCGTTGGGGTTTGAAACCTTTTAGTACTTCTGTTTGAGGGTATATTTCCACAAAAGCAAATGTGTCTCCTATGTATAAAGAAATGAACAAGATTCCAAAGTGGCAAGAAAAAACTTCAAGCCCTTTTTCCTTCGTCGGACGTTTTATAAATTGAGAATGAGAGAGGTTTATTACGGTGTCATCCTGGTTTGCCCACTTTTAATTACATGCATATGTAAACATAGGGGTGATTGTTGTTTTAACAATTATAGTTTATTTCTGAATTATAGTCATATTTTTCACCTATATTTTACCTGTAAAATTTTAAAAATGATACAATATTCTGCTATTAAATCAAGGAAAATTTGCAAAAATATTTTATATTTGATATAGATTTTGGCAGGAATATGTATTGAATTTGACAAACCTGTAATTTTTTTTATGAAGATACTACATTCTGCTATTAAATCAATGAAATATGTGCAAAGATATTTTTTATTTGATATAATTTATGTAGGAAAATGTATTGAATTTGACAAATAGAAAAAAAAAAGACAAAAATGTGTACAAAAACATTTATTATTTTTACAACTTATCAACGAATAGTTTTAATTGTTGTTACATTCTGAAAAAAGTTAAATAACGATACATCGCTCAACAACTTCAGTAACAACTTCACCCAGAAACAGTATTTGCTGATTACGAGACCGCAACCAACAACGCAGCACAGACAGTGTTCCCAGGGGTAAGCGTGAAAGGCTGCTTCTTCCACTTTACCCAATGTATTTGGCGGAAGGCACAGAAATGTGGACAACAGTCTTTTTATAAAGAAAATGAAGACATCACTCGATTAAAAAGACGAGCAACAGTGTTACCTCTTGGTCCATCCCTACTTGTAGAGGAGTGCTTAAAACTTTATAAGACATTAATGAATGTTATATCATCCAGTATGCAACAGGATGAGCCTGTCCACCAAAAAGACGAAGATACATAGTCCCCAGACTCCAACTATTGAAAGACAGATCCTGACATGGGCTCATCAGCGTGACAGACTACTCTGACATAGCACCCCATTGTCTCCATTTCAATTGAACATTTTAGTGAAATACTGCAATTTGTGACTTTGAAAATAAAATGTTTTGTGACTTTTGAAATATATATATATAATTATATAATGTTCTATTTCTTATACAGTGCCCCATATTACTTATTTTACCGTAGTGCTTTATTTATTTCCTTGTGCAATGAATTAATAAACTTAATTTATATAAGATTATTATATAAATTATGTTTGCAATAAAAGAGAACTTGTATTGGAGTATTTATTTCATGAAAATCATTCAGAAACTAATGAATTGTTAAAAGACACTTGAATAACTGAATGTCATTGTTTCGTCTGTAGTCGTACATGTATGTTAAAGGAATAGATTGAATTGATATCAAATTATTGAGAGAAAAAATATTTGATTTATTTATTATTTTTTAGGAAAAAAATACCTGAATATAGAAAGAAACACTGATAAACTATATACCTAAGTTGGAACAGACTATACAATTGTATGCTTATTAAACCTTTTGTCTTTTTTGCTTTCTTTACTAATAGATAATTGATATAATTAAAAGTGGGCAAACCAGGAGTAAACCGTTTATTAACGTAACTACCTTTAACTGCCATTTTTTTTGTTAAGTGCTTTACAGTGAACTCACAATTTGCATTTCTGCAACTCACTGACCGGGCTTTATTTCTTCTTAGTTTCATTTGAAACCAGGTTATTATCAGCACAACTTTTGAAATAACATACACTCTCAAGCTGTGGGTTACTTAGTTGTTGAGTTGAATCAAATATTAAAACGTGTGACACTAATAAATATAACGGCAGGTCATGAAATTTAAAATATTATAAGTACTAATGCAGGAAAGATAACTCAAATACAATACAGTAAATTTGCACTATGAATGATATTTCATATATTAAATGACATTGTATAATTTACGCATGCCAATTGTTACTTTTATTCGCCTTTTTCTAGCTAATACATTCACATCAGATTACTAGTATCATTAAATGGAATGATCTATTCGGCTTAAATATAGACAGTTTGAACACCAGTAAATTTCTTTTCTCTATATAAGACACCAGTGCTTTCTTCTTTTTCTCAAAGCTTATTTTAGTTTATTAGTACTTCTTTGCATGAAGGAACTTTTATGAATGCTATCCTGGTGCATATCTCAAGGATTTTCAATCGTGTTATGATGGCTTTGGTCCTGTCATTTGACAGAGTAGTTATGTATTTGATAAGTATCACGTACCTCCCAAGCTCTTCACTCTAAGCGGGCTGTGTTGAAGACCCTCTGGATGATGTGTCTCACCAAATCGTCTTATCTAACTATTTTCTTTTGTTTTTCTTGTTTGCTACATACTGTTATTTCGATCCAAAAATTGGTGGATCCCAACATTATGTTTCAGCTAATTCTATTATTTGTTTCAGACCAAAGTGTTTGTCTTTGTGTCGCTCATTGTTGAAATGCTACTAGGATCTTTATAAACATACGTTGCATGTATATACTGTAATGTCCTCATCTATTCGAATCTATTGTTCGAATGAGCAATCTGAGAATCTATCTATCTTTATATTTCCGCACTCAGTCACAGCTTACTTTGACAATTACGCGCCGTTGCATGCGTGGCTTATTAGGCTTATGAACATTTAAAAAAGAAATGCATTTTCAGTAATATTACGTTACATTGGGGAACAGAAAAATACAATATATTACAGTGATTATTTTTTTTTAGTGGATTGTCATTCCAAATGACGTAGAAATTAGCAACTATATATATATATAGGTAAACGTACGGCCTTCTACAATGAGCAAAACCATGATTGTTTTTGAATTATTTGAATGTCTACCAGAACTCTTTAATTTCGTCGGTACCACTCCTCGGTAAATAAATGATCGGTTTTGATGCCGTTGCAGATGCATGTTTTCGATTTACCGCTCTCCAAAAGTGTCACATGTTTGATTTTTGTCTGCTGTGCACATCGAGTGTTCGTCAACAACTTATTTTCTTCTACACAACTAGCATTCAGGTTGGAAGATGATGCATTGTCAGTTCAATGGTTGTCGTGCAAGTTGAACCTAGCTGAATATGACATTTACAAACAAAAATACGTTAACATCTACACCTTAAATGATTTAATCTGATTTGTATGAGACTTATTACCTCTATCACGTCGGTGCTCGACAGGTAAAAAAAGGTAAATTGACACCTAATAGTGCTTGCTTTATCATTAGTGTACCAATACATATGTATATCTATAAACAACCAATATGAATATAAATCCATAAAAAGCAACATCAACTCCATCTGGGTGTGATAAAGAAAAAATTATTTATATACTAAAAATGTAAACAATGATATTAAAACAAAATATATAACATATGATATGTATGACTGGGACACACCTCCTACACAAAACCACATGTAAACTAAAACCCGGATATTTGTTTCAATGGGGAACAACTTCAATAGATGACGTTATCAATTACATGCAATGAGAGGTAACCTATTAATACAGTTTCGAGAAAGATACTTTATTGATAATGTAATAACATAGCAATATCAAACTCAGCAATAGTAAATAACAACAACGGACATATCAAAGGGTTTTAACCGACAAAAAACAAACATCTCAGACTCTCTAAAAAGTTTATACATAAAAGATAAAGGCAGGAGTTTACCATTGTCTATGTAGCAAAAACGGGGCATCCTTATACCAACCGGTATTAGAAAAAAGATGAATGAAAAGCTCTAATAGGACGCAACACAGGCTCTACTTAGCGACATAGAGAAATTTTATGTGTGTATCATGTTTATCATTAACAACAGTTGTTCCCCTTGAACAACTGTTCGCAGTTATTGGAAGTCGCAGTGCTACCAGAGAGTGTGACTGAAAATATGTATTTTTAGAATGTCTATGTTAATGGGTCTAGTGAAAACAGAATCTCCTAAAATGGTATCCCTACAACACGTAAGGCCCTGAATTTTTGGATACCAAGGGGGCAACCAAAAACGATAAATCGAATAATAATAGACAACACCATGAAGATATGACATAAGACAACCACTGATATGATGTTCCTGGTACATTTACGAGACGGTCACGTGAACATGAGACGGGGATACTGGTTGTTCTTTTTAAGTATCAAACTTTCAATTTTAATCTCGACCTGTGGACTAACAAAAAAAATACATATATAATTTTCCAATATAAATCAGTGAAGGACAACGTTTACCTCTATAATAACGGCATAAAAGATAACAAATACCCAAGTACAAACAAAACAATAATAAGTCATACTAAGCTCAATGTGACTAAAAGCAAGCTAAAAGTACTCAACATGCTTAAGGAATGACTGCAATATTTTTTTTTCTGTCTATGAAGAAATAACATAATTCCAAAAATGTGTACGCGGGTTTTTCAAAAGTGTGCACCACATTTTTGGGGTCATTTCGAATAGACAGAAAAAATATTACAGTCATTCCTTATAATTTAATTCTCAATTCCATTTTTAAGGAGTAAAATCTTGAAATAAAGGTTGATGACGTCACGGTCACATGACAAAATTATGTCTATGAGCTGATAGACTAACAACTGCCAGCCAAATAGAAGACGTGTTACATCCAAAA